TGTGAGAGAGACACATAGATTGGTTGCCTTCCACATGTGTCCCAACCAGGCCAGTTATTGAACTTGCAACCCAGGTACCTGCTCTTGACTGGGAATTGAACCCATGACCCTTTGGTGCATGGGCTATTGCTCTTACCATTGTGAAACACTGGCCAGGGCATGGATATCTAGTTTAAATGACTATTCTTTCCTCAGTGAATTGTTTTGGCATCTTTTTGAAAGCAAGTGACCATAAACCACTGAAAAATTTTAATCAGAGGAGTGACATGATTTCTTTTATATTTTAAGACAATATCACTGTATGCTATGTAGAGAATGTATTGGAGGAGTCAAGAGTGGATGTAGGGAGACCAGTAGTAAGAAGCTGCAGTTATCCAGGCCAGAGATAATTATGACTTAGACCACAGTAGTGGTAATGGAGACGTAGAGAAATACACAATTTATATTTGGGAAATAAAGTTAATTGGACTAGGGACTGTCTGGCTAGGGAGGTTAAAAGAGGGGAGAGGTCAAGGATGATTTATATTTGGGTTGGAGTCAAGAATGATTTTCAGATTTCTAGCTTGTATAACTAAGTGGATAGTAGTATCATTTACTATCACACAAATGAAGAAGCATGTTTTTAGAGAGGACATAATGATTTTAATTTGAGGTTAATTGAATTTCAGGTGCCTATGTGACTTTCAAGTGGAGATGTCCAGAAGACAGTTGGAATATGGATCTAGATTAGAGCTTGGGGGCAAGACCTGGGTTGGAGAGTGATTTGGGAATCATGAGCACAAAGGTGGGAGTGGAAGCTCTAGGAGAGCCTGAGGAAAGTAAAAGTAGTGAGAAGAGGGCCCAGGACTGAACCATCTTGGAGGAAGAATAGGAGCCCAAGGACACAGAAGAAATGACCAGTGATTGGTGGTGGTGCTTGTGGGGGTGAACCAGAAGGAATCTCTCAGAAGGGAATTTTAAGGAGGGGAATGATCATTAGTGTCAAATGCATCATAGAGGTCCAGAAAAATAAGGCCTGAGAAGTGCCCATGTATTTTTCCATGCTCCCACAATATAGGTTGGTTGGTTGATTTTACAAAAAATATCACTCCGTACTTCTTATGGGTGGCAAATTTTTTTTAATACTGTGGAACCAATAACCTTTGCACATACATTTTCCACAACTAGTGCCTGAAGGTGTTGCTGGCAGTGTCTGGTGGATATTTGCGTCTTAACTAATGCCAGCTTTCATTGGCGTCTTCTGTGCTAATCTTTCCCATCCTGAATTGAGGATATTAAAAGCCCAAGTGCAGTTTCGATTCCAAAATGGACTCGAAAGTATTCTTAGACTGAATGTTCAAACTGTTTCCTTTCTTTCTAATGTTAATATTATATCTTTAATTTTTTAAATAGATATGTGAAAGAGGCCAAAGAAGCAACTAAGAATGGAGATCTGGAGGAAGCATTTAAACTTTTCAATTTAGCAAAGGACATTTTTCCCAATGAAAAGGTGATGAGCAGAATCCAAAAACTACAGGAAGCCTTGGAGGAGTTGGCAGATGGAGATGATGAATTCACAGATGTGTGCAACTCTGGCCTGCTGCTGTATCGAGAACTGCACAACCAACTATTTGAGCACCAGAAGGAAGGTGTAGCTTTCCTATATAGCCTATATAGGGATGGAAGAAAAGGCGGTATCTTGGCAGATGATATGGGATTAGGGAAGACTGTTCAAATCATTGCTTTCCTTTCTGGTATGTTTGATGCTTCACTTGTCAATCATGTGCTGCTGATCATGCCAACAAGTCTTATTAGCACATGGGTAAAAGAATTTGTCAAGTGGACTCCAGGAATGAGAGTCAAAACCTTTCATGGTCCTAGTAAGGATGAACGTGCCAGAAACCTCAGTCGGATTCAGCAAAGGAATGGTGTAATTATCACTACATACCAAATGTTAATCAATAATTGGCAGCAACTTTCAACCTTGAATGGCCAAGAGTTTGTGTGGGACTATGTCATACTTGATGAAGCACATAAAATAAAATCTTCATCTACTAAGTCAGCAATATGTGCTCGTGCTGTCCCTGCCAGTAATCGCATTCTCCTCACAGGAACCCCAATCCAGAATAATTTGCAAGAACTGTGGTCCCTGTTTGATTTTGCTTGTCAAGGGTCCCTGCTAGGAACATTAAAAACTTTTAAAATAGAGTATGAAAATCCTATTACTAGAGCAAGAGAGAAGGATGCTACTGCAGGGGAAAAAGCCTTGGGACTGAAAATATCTGAAAACCTAATGGCAATCATAAAACCCTATTTTCTCAGGAGGACTAAAGAAGAGGTACAGAAGAAAAAGTCAAGCAACTCAGAGGTCAGACTTAGTGAAAAGAATCTAGATGTTAATGCCAGTTATGAAATGCCTTCCCTTTCCAGGAAAAATGATTTAATTATTTGGATACGCCTTGTACCTTTACAAGAAGAAATATACAGGAAATTCGTGTCTCTAGATCATATCAAGGAGTTGTTAATGGAGACACGCTCACCTTTGGCTGAGCTAGGTGTCTTAAAGAAGCTGTGTGATCATCCTAGGCTGCTCTCTGCAAGGGCTTGTCATTTGCTGAATCTAGGGGCTGTCAGATTTTCTGCTCAAGATGAAAATGAAGGGGAAGATTCCTCAGATGTGGACCATATTCATATTGACCAAATAACTGATGATACACTGATGAAAGAATCTGGAAAAATGATATTTCTAATGGACCTCCTTAACAGACTGCGAGATGAGGGGCATCAGACTCTGGTGTTTTCCCAGTCAAGACAAATTCTAAACATCATTGAACGCCTTCTAAAGAATAGACACTTTAAGATACTGCGAATTGATGGAACAATTACTCATCTTGTGGAACGAGAAAAAAGAATTAACTTATTCCAGCAGAATAAAGATTACTCTGTCTTTCTGCTTACCACTCAAGTAGGTGGTGTTGGCTTAACATTAACTGCAGCAACCAGAGTGGTCATTTATGACCCTAGCTGGAATCCTGCAACTGATGCTCAAGCTGTGGATAGAGTTCACAGAATTGGACAAAAAGAAAATGTTGTGGTTTATAGGTTAATCACTTGTGGAACTGTAGAGGAAAAAATATACAGAAGACAGGTTTTCAAGGAGTCATTAGTAAGACAAACTACTGGTGATAAGAAGAACCCTTTCCGATATTTTAGTAAACAGGAATTAAGAGAGCTCTTCACAATCGAAGATTTTCAGAACTCTGTAACCCAGTTGCAGCTTCAGTCTTTGCATGCTGCTCAGAGGAGATCTGATAAGAAACTAGATGAACATATTACCTACCTGCACACTTTGGGGATAGCTGGAATCTCAGACCATGATTTGATGTACACACATGATCTATCTGTTAAAGAAGAGCTTGATGTGATAGAAGAATCTCACTATATTCAACAAAGGGTTCAGAAAGCTCAATTCCTTGTTGAATCTGAGTCTCAAAATACAGAGCTCTTAATGGAAAGACAAAGAAGTAGAAATGAGGGGATCTGGCTGAGAGAACCTGTATTTCCTTCTCAAACAAAGGAGAAATGCCCTCAAGTGAATAAACCACAGCCTCAGCCCTCATCTTTTCTAACTACTCATTATACCCAGGAAGAAGAAATCAGTTCCCAAATGGCAAGTGTAATCATTGATGATCTGCCTGAAGAGAGTGAGAAATACTGTCTTTCCAGTGTAAAGACGAATGTTACCATTGTACAAGATGGTAGGCACCCACATGAAAGCACATTTGATGCTGACTTTATAGCTATGTTACCCAAGGGGTGTGGAAGTGTAGAAGAAATTTGTACTGACTCTTTATTGGGAATGGCTCTACAAAAAGAGGCACCACAAGAGGGGACTACACAGGAGGCACTGCAAGAGAACCCTCTGCAAAGTTTTAATTATTTACTTAGCAAATCTGTCAGAGCTGATCCTGGGCCAAATATAGATGAACTAAAGGATGATGAGATTTTACACCAGTGTAATCCCTGGCCCACTAATCCTATAACAGATGAAAATAAAAATACAGAATCAGATGCATCTGTTATTAAAATAGCTGATGATGTCTTGTCAGCATCCCACAGTGCACTGATGGATGCTCACGCAAATGAGGCCACGTTAGAAGAGGAACCTTTAGAATCTTCACCACAGTATGTGTGTGATTTCAATCTTTTCTTGGAAGACTCTGCAGACAATGGACAAAATCCTTCCAGTCAGTCTTTCGAGCATGTTGAGAAAGAAAATAGCTTGTGTGGCTCTGCAACTAATTCTGGAGCAGAGTTTGTGCATAGCAAAGCAGGTCTCAGTATGGATCTTTCTGAGAAAGATGATGAGTCAGAAGTAGTAGTTAATTTGAGAGTCAGATGTAAAACTAGAAGGATCGTTTCAGATGGTGAAGATGAACATGATACTGTTAAAGATACTTCAAGCACAAATCCATTCAGCACATCTCCCTTTCAGTTCTTATCTGTAAAACAGTTTGATGCTTCAACTCCCAAAAATGACATCAGCCCACCTGGAAGGTTCTTTTCACCTAAAATACCTGATAGTATAAATAAGTCTGTAAACTCTAGAAGATCCTTGGCTTCTAGGAGGTCTCTTATTAATGTGGTTTTAGACCATGTGGAGGATATGGAGGAAAGACTTGAATACAGCAGTGAAGCAAAGGTAGCTGAAGATTCTCTGGAGGAAAGAGCCAAGGAAAGCAGTGGCGAAGCCTCAGAGGGTACAGAAGAGGAACCTTTCAGAGAAACATTGTCTTCAGAAAGTAAGTCCAGTTGGTTAAGTACACCTAAGTCTGGTGCTGTAGCTCAGGAGACCTCTCCTGGTGACCCTGGGCCTTTGTCTAGTGGACAGTTGGTTGATTCTCCTCAAGATAAGGCAGTGGAGGCTGTGAATGACTATGAGACTCTTGTAATGCGTGGAAAAGAATTGAAAGAATGTGGGAAAATACAGGAGGCCTTAAACTGTTTAGTTAAAGCACTTGACATAAAAAGTGCAGATCCTGAAGTCATGCTCATGACTTTAAGTTTATATAAGCAACTTAATACAACTTGAGAATATAACCTGTTTATTGTATTTTAAAGCAAAACTAAATATGAGATAATATGTTATGATTGGGTTCTTTGGAATTATGGAGCATTCAGGCTTCAGGTGAGAAAGATCTCAAAAGGCAAGTTTTTGTTTCTAGCTTTTTTTATAAATTCTGCCTTTACCCCCTTCTCCTGCCCTCCCAATACATATATTCTGGTATTCTTTTAGGCATACTCTATAAACTTCATAGAACTATATTATTTCTAGAAATATTTTTGTGAAATTATTCTGGCCATTTTAAATTTTATTCTGAAAATGATCACTTTTGTGTATCACAATACAGATAAGATTATTAAAGTTACTTTTCTCAAGTGTTTTCCATTCACTTTCTTTCCCTGCTATGATTCTGGCAAATGCATATACAAACTCCTTAGTTTAGGCAGGAGGTTGTCATTCGTATTCCAAACCTAAGATCTGCTATTTTATGCTCTCAGCTTACTATAGTAGGCTTCTTTATCACTGGTACCCTACCGTAGAGTCACTTTGCCAACCACTTATCATTCTTCCCTCACCACCAGCTGTGTTCTGACATATACTAGTACTGAAAAGAAGTTTGGTTCCTTCTCAGGAACAAATGCAGTGTAGCATACTCTGCACTTGGTCACTGGGGCAGGAAAACTCAAATTTATCAAGTACCTACTGTATATTGGGTACTTTTCATAGGTTTCTTGTTTAATCTCTACCATAATCTTTGAGGTCAAGGGTGGCATTTCCATTTTTTAATTGAGGAAACTTAAGATGCTGCGAGGTTGTGACCTGCCCAAGATCACATAGTAAGGGGTGAAATGGATTTTTAACTGTGTGTTACCTAGTGAAAAGCCATATAATATACTGTATATCATAGTCACACTTCTGACACCAAATGTTTAGGAATTTTCACACCAAGCAGTTCTCCAATTCTCTGCAGACACCAATTGGGTGTCCTACCATTCAATTTAATTCTGACACTACTTGGAATTAGGATCAGACTCTACAGGTTTAAGGGCACATTCCCATAAAACTGCCCTCACTTCAGATGCCAGTTGCTAGTTTTGGGTCTTCATGTTATTCACATTTCTGTTCAACTTGGCTAAAAACTGAGGGTTTCCATGACTGCTCCTTTAGGTTCAATAATTTGCTAGAAGAGCTCACAGAACTCGGGAAAACAGTTTACTTATTATTACTTGTTTTTATAAAGAATACAACTCCAGAAGAGATGTATGGGGCAAGGTATGGGGGTTGGAAAGGGTAAGTGAAGTGTCCATGCCCTCTGGGCACTGCCACACTCCCAGCACTTTGATGTGTTCACCAATCCTAAGCTTTAGGGTTTTTTATGGAAGCTTCATTACATAGGCATGATTATGTAAATGATTGGCCATTGGTGAGTAACTCAATCTTTAGCTCCTCTCCCCATCCCAGAGGCCAGGAGAAGGGGCTACAACTTCCAAACCTCTAATTTTGTTTTGGTCTTTTTAGTAACCAGTCCATATCTGAAGCTATTTAGGGCCCCCCCAGCCACTAGTCATCTCATTAGCATACCAAAGACAACCCCGATTCAAACGGTTTAGGAGCTGTGTGCCAGGCAGGAACCAGGGACAAAGACCACTTATTTTTAAAAAAATACGTTTATTGATTTCGGAGAGGAAGGGAGAAAGAGATAGAAACATAAATGATGAGAGAGAATCATTGATTGGCTGCCTCCTGCACGTCCCCTACTGAGGATTGAGCCTGCAACCCGGGCATGTGCCCTGACCTGGAATTGAATCGTGATCTCCTCGTTCTTAGGTTGGCACTCAACCAGTGAGCCACACCGGCTGGGTGACCACTTATTTTTTATGTCACATACACACATATATAAAAGTTACTTATAAATTGTATGTATACAGCAAGTAGGGCACTCAGGGGTTGTACAAAAGAAAATATAAGAAGAAGGGTGGGGCAGGGGTATTAGCAAAAGGGAAAAAAATGGATTTTTAGATCAGGACATCATCATTTTGGGGAGAAGGGGAAGGAAAAGGGTTTTATTATAGACTAGAGGCCCGGTTCATGAAATTTGTGCACTGGGGGGGGGGGGTCCCTCAGCCCAGCCTGCACCCTCTCCTCGGGCCTAAACCGGCAGTCTAACATCCCTCTCACAATCCGGGACTGCTGAAGTGTGAGAGATGAAAGGAAATTAGTAAAATGTA